TATATATATATATACATATATGTACCATTCTTTTATTACAATTTTTCAATAATACCACAATTTACAATATAATTAAACGCAATGCACTATAACGAATGAAACTGTTTTTTTTTACAATATCGTATACATTAGGTTTTTACATAAATATAATTATCGCTGGTACTACATATTTCTCTTAAATTTATTTTGGATTAATTTAAACATAATTTACATAAATCATTGGAAAAATAATTCTTTAATGAATCTTAGTTTATTTTTTGAGGTACAAAAATTGTTATAATTAGTTGTCTACATAAAAGTTTACGAAATTATTTTTTTATTTTTAAGTATAAAACAAGACATACTATTAAACAAGATTACAACTTACTCACTTAAAGTCAAAAGTAATATAATTTTTAGAAGTTGTGTAGAGATACCAAATTTTATGGATATTATAAATGTATGAAGTATTTATACATTTTAAATCACAATTAGTCTGCAGTACCGTCCGAAAATTTTTTTAATCAACATTTGAAACATCAGACTACATTATTTTGTTTTATCTAAAAAAATGTTTCTATTTTTTCAGGTAAATACTTAATACACTTTTATTATAAATGTTTATGAATACTTTAAAAAATTGGCTTAAGTTAATGAAATAGGCATGTACTGATGTCAAATGAAATAGAAAGCTCGATTAATTATGGTAAACATACTTGTGGTTGCCATGAAAAAAAGAGATTTTAATAATCGTACTTCACTCGATATTAATAACCATTGTCAATCCTTTATCAAAGGCAAACGTATTTTGTCATTTCTTTATTTAAAAATTGGTCTTTTAACTTACTTTTTAGTTCAACATGCTAATTTGCAAAAAACGGACTATTTACACTATGATGAAATTTGATTCTAGCACTTATACATACTTTAAAAGAGTATGCAATTTCGTTACAGATCTTTATATTTTTATTCTAGGCGTGTAATTTAAAAATACACTTAAAAAGATTTAATGCAGGTTTTTTATCTACATGTAAGCTCGATATTATCTTTATTTCCTTCAGGTACTTTTCGAAATTCTTTTTTTTTCGAACTTTGATAACAAACAGAATATCAATATATCTTGGCTTTTTAATTTATCGATAAAAATGTACGGATACATTAGAATAAAAAATATAAAATGGAATTGTCTTTCAAACTCCATTTGCATTTATGAAGTTAACGCATCAAAAACAACATTCGACTTATATAACGCAGTAGGTCAAAAAAATCTTAGAGTGCAGATGTTCTTTCTAATAGTGTATTCATCAGAAGTATTAACAAATATACGAGTTAATACAAATAACTCATTTTCTCTTGGAAAGATCGTTGGTAACTTTTCATATTATACTTGTATTAAAAGCTGTTAATTGTTAGGTATATAAATATGTCATACTCTTTGTTTGTTGCAGTACAGTAATAATAATACAATGAAATAATATTTTTACAAATTATTTGCGATAAAAAGTTAAATGTATATAAAATGTATATAATAAATTTTGTGAATTTTTTTTTTTTTCAAGGAAATATTACTATTGTTTTTCGTATCATTTGCATTACTTTCTAACAGCGACATATTTAAACAACAATTGAAAAACAATTGCAACGTTTTAGCGTTACGACTTTAACGAAACGGATGCTCAAAACTTTAGGCTGATGCAAATAAAAAAATTCACCAATGGTTTCTAGTTAGATTAACCATACTGACTCAAGATACTCGTTCCAACCTTCTCCAAAAAGCTTACCACAGTGATAACAAAAACGGAACATCATCACTCGGACGATAAATCTCAATGATTCTCCTTGATCCTGGTCTCAATCATTGGCACGGAGCAGCACTGGCATCGATCATCGTTATCGAGTGGAGGAGTGACATTCTCTTCGGTCTACCCGAGGCGTCGTCCTTTTTTCACGGAGTGCCGTACGCCGTCGGCGTTGAAAATCATCTTCCGACTGCTGCTCCAGCAACAATGCCTGGCACGAGCGCGTCGGTGTCGTACATCCAACGGTTGAGCTAGCATCATCAACGTTAACACCGAGATCCATCCCTGGATCTAGACGTATTAGTCCCTATCAAACCTGAAAATTCGAGGAACACGTTGGATGAAAATAAATCAATGAATCAATCATTAGTAATAAAAGATGAGTCATGATCGGTAGATTATACGCACCTTCCAGATCAACAGGTGATTGGTCGAGTCTTCACGGCCAGCCTGTAGCTCCGTAGCAGTTGGGGGCCCACGAAAGTCTTCGTATCCGTCGCCACCCGATATAATAAGAATACGGTCCTGCTCGACTCCGCAGCTGCTGGTACTTCCCGTTCGACTGGGGCTATTGTTGCTTTGCTGGGAAGTTGATGACTTGGAGCCCTTGAGGGAGTAGCGGTTTACCTTCGGTCGAGGCTCTTCAGTCTTTGGTGGGCTCGCCGTTTCCACGCTGGTCAGAAATCTCACTTGACCCGTGTGACCGTGATGTATAGCTGAAAAATTAACCGAAATCAATATTTTTGTTACCCTGTGATGATATTTTAAGCACAGTACCTGTTACTATGGGTGCCTGGGACATTCTTTGGGTGGAGGGTTTTATATGGGGAATCGGTACCGTCAATAGCACGCCCGCACTCGTGCCAATCCACAACAGTTCGTTGCACGCCAGCAACGCGGTAACTCGTAAACACGCTGCCTTATGCTGCCTAATAATGTCGTCGCAATCTGAAAAAAAAAAAAATTCATAAAAAAGTTTTTTCTGGTGTTACGATTCATCAAACGTCACACGGTAAAAATAATACCGACTGGCAAGCATCGTTGTGACCGTAGGGGCAATACTGACGTCGGTGAGGCACTCGTAATTAGAAGCGTTATACAGTTTGAGTACAGCGCTATTGTGCAGGGATATCCAGACACCAAGACCGCCTGAACTGGCCATACAAGTGATTGGTCTGTTGTTGTCGCTGTTCACACTGAAGGTGTGCTCGATGTCGAGATTGTAGGTGTTAAGGATTTTGACGTTGTTGTGACTGGCGCACCAGAGTTTGCCGGAAACCGGTAACATTTTCATTACAGGTGAGGCGACAGTGCCTACGGGTAAAGTTGTCGGATCTACCGTTATCCAACCACCAACTGCAAATGTTCATATACGTTCAATAAAATAATTGTGGTCCTCAAACTTGTGCATGTTTCGCTTTGAACGTGAAAGATTACATTGAATGAATCTACTTACGATGATCCCTCGAATAAACTGTAATATCACCGTTGGCTAGAGATACAAAAACTTTATTGTCCAAGTATCTAAAAAAAAACGAATCAATAATTTAATTTGGGGGAAAAAAAGTATAAAAAGTTACGTACAAACACAATCGATATCGTAAACTCACATAATACATTGCACGCTACTTCCATGCTGCAACCTAACTTTGTTCTTCTTAATTCTAATGTTGTCGTTGCAATTGTAAACGTGCACACAGCCATCCTCGGTGCCCAACCACATTGTCGGCTGATTGACGTCTTCTTCAACAGCACCACTGTCCAGACTTGACACGTCACCGGCTATGGAGGTGCTTGCCGTGTCAGCGCATGGAATGTCGTCAGAGTCCGAATCGTCGGAGCTTGAGCTGCAAAGCAGTCATTTTTATTACATTTCTTCTTATGACTTTACTTCATTTACTTTTTAATTATTCTGTTTATATTTTGAATTTGGCCGTGGAACAAATTAGTTCTTTGATAGAGGGATATCCTATTAGTTTGTTAGATTACTGCTGTGGCAATTAGTCAATGTATTAAAATTAGGTTTTAGTTTATTGTTAATCAACTGTTGAATGTTACGCGGGCGTATCCGTGAAAGAATGGAGGAAAAAGTGAGGATGAGAAGCCAAAAGGATTTCAAGTGTTCCGTATACCTGTCTAGTCGAATGTTTCCACTACTTGTGTCCGTATTTTGAACAGTGACATTGACACCACTTTTATTGTTAACGAAGGCACAATTAATAGGTTTGCAGAAGTTTGATCTATAAAGAGGGTAGCCATGAAGTATCCTGTATCTATCTTTTAGAGCGTTTTTCAAGAAAGTGCAAATCATTTGAAGAAAAAACAAACAAAAGCCATTTATACGAGTATGACCATGATTAAAAAGAAAATAAAATGTATTTACTCACACACTTTTATTTTTATCCAAAAGTAAATATTATCTGATAAATAATGAACGGTACACGTCAAAGGAATCACTTACACGGAAGTGCAGGCAGGAATACTGGTGACGCAGGTGATTCTCGAGTTGCATACACCGTTGCAAGAGACAACCTGACCAGGGACTGGCGTTAAATTTAGAACGCAAACTTGACCGACGTATCCGTCGCTGTTGCAGACCCAAACGTCACGCTCGCCTCGGCCATCGGCCAACGTTGGTGCCGCGCACGTGAACTGCAGGCCCGCCCGTGTTTTGCGAATCGGCAGTGGCTGTACGAACTCTGGCACTAGCTTTCTATCCATTGAAGCGGCTAAAAATCACCAAACGAATAATACATTGTCTCTCAGAACCGAATGCAATTACTTTCATCAGTAAAATTTTCCTTGCAACGGCCATGTGGTGTTTGTTGTTGTCTAAGAAAATCCCACCAAAAACTACATCCATTCAACTTTGGCCATTGGACGGAAAGATTGTCTCCCGGATGAACTTACCTAGTTTTTGTTTGGCCTCGTTAAAACTTTCTTCCCAACTCGCTCGCTTATCCGGTTTCTGGAACATCACGGAAATGTTCTCCATTCCAGCCCTGAAACCATAAAATTTCTCTTATCCCAAAAACATCGACAAACTCCCCAATCCCATCTGTGACGCAATCAATTATTTTCACAACCAATTTTTCCACTTTGATCAACTACTTGATCAATTACTCACTGGGTATTGAGGGTGAGTTCGAGGCAGGCCAGCTGCGAATGCGCACTGTTGCGTTCGGCTAGTTGTTTTTGCGTCTGGGCGAGCATCTCCTTGATGAGCTCCTCGAGCTGATGTTTAGCCCCGTGTAGACCGGACGCGAGATTTTGCAGCTCGTTAAGCGTCTCTATGTCCTGCCGCAGGAGCTCCATCTCGCTGGCTATCCGCCTCAGGTTCTCGTCTTTGGCTAAAAATACGCACGAGATCGATGAGGTCAGTTTGCTTAAAGTTACGCGTTTCCGTGACATCCCTACCTTTCATGATTTCTAAATCGTCCAGTGGGATCCTCATTAGCAGCTTATACTTGTTTGCTTCCAGTATCCCAACGAGACTATTCGGACAGGTATTCCTACAAAATGGAAACACTGTGGTTACGAAGGATCCACGACACGATTAAAACATTCATTTGTAATAAAAAAAAAGCGATGGTCAAAGCTCACGTGGAAGGTTTCCGTATGGTTCCACTTCGTCTCTTGATACTCGTGATGACGAGAAGGTCCGAGAACAGAAACAGAGCTCGATCTTTCCGTGTGCCTTGATTCGAAGCGATGCTTACCAAATCGTGTCTTATGAAGGTTCTAGAAAACAAAACGGCCGGATAAAATTTATTTTTGCTTCCTCGTTAATCAAAGAGATAACGAGCTGCGCAAGTGTATTGACCTGTCGTTGGTGACGATGCCACCGAGACCATCGACGAGCGCCTGGACCTCTTTCAACGTGGTCTGTTGTTGCTCCCATTCGAGCGACTCGCGCTCGGTGCAGTTTATCTTGACGACGAGCTCGTGGACCTCCTTGAGGGCTGCGGTGAGCAATTGGTAATCCGGATGCGAGTGGTCCGTGTGCTTCAGCAGCCGTTGGATCAGCAGCTCGTAACGTGGTATCTTTTGCACGGGTTTTATCAGCAACTGGTCCAACCCAAGTTTTCCCTTGTGTTCTCGTTCCATCGCCTGTTGGTTTGAATATTGATTTTGGTCATAAATTCAAAAGCAATTCATTCAAAGGCTCCATCGTACAATCCGATTCAATATCTTTGCGTTCGAAGCACGCTCTGGAATATTCAAATAGTGCATGCGCCACTTTGTCAAAATGTACGCGTGTGCATACCGCGTACCTCGAGAAAGCGAGCGAAGGCTGGCTTGGCCTGGCACGTCGCCTTGATGGCCTTCTTCGCCGACTTCCAATTGTCGAGAAAGAGGGTGTACGTCTCGAGGACCACGGGCTTTGTGAACTTGAACAGAAAGTGCATATTGAGGATACAATGGAAATAACAATTTTTTGGCAGCTTATAGGACATCCATTGCGTGAAAACCGTTCAGAAACAATAGCTCGAAAATTTACCACTTCGAGGAATACATCGCCGATCGTTTGATGGATTTCCCAAGTGTCCAAGCGTTTGCGCAACTCCTCCAGGAATACCTTGTGGTGGCTCAGGATAGCTGGGATCTAAACGTAAAATGAACACAAACTTACTCAACTGCACTTTTATTATGACACTGTGAGAGTAAACGAGGACTCTTTTTAAGGGAAACTCACCTGGTAAAATATTTCATCGACTATCGCGGCATCTACGAGATTCGCGTTTTCAGGGCTCTTGAGTGGCTGGAGGTATTTCTGAAACGATAATTACGGCTTCCTCAGTATTAGTGATCCTCAGGACTGGATGCGCAGCTAAGGCATGGCTCCTAATCGGCACGTGCACGGATCAATAACCGAATTTTCCGACCATCATCACGCGCTTTGGGTGCTCAGCATACCGGAATAACGACGTGTATTTCCATCGATTAGTGGGAGCAGAGGAGGAAAATAAAATTTTCTAGATTTTCCCTTTTCCTATTTACCTACGGTGCTACGGTGAATCCTTGAAGGGGGATTCCCCGAAGCTTCTTACGGAGGGAGGAAAAGCTCTCATTAGAAGAGATTCCGTTCTAATTTCGTTCGAAAGGTTGCACTAGAAAAGGTTTCTATTCAATAGATGAGTAGTTTTGGAGAAATGACAATGACGTTTGTCAAAGTGACTTGAACGAGACCACAATTATTTACATTTGGAAAACGGATGAAAAGCGATCGCTAGAATTGAAAAATTCAGCCAAAGTCAAGTCGTATATAAAACGTAGCAAAGTCATGTCGTATTTTTTGTTTACAAACAACAAAGTACTGCAAAGACACGATGAGCAACAATAGCACTAAATGTGCCTATAATTTTTCTCTCGCCCAACTAAAAGCTCCGTTAGCAGAGCAACAAAGCTTCAAGATCCCACAAGTACCCGATAAAGCTCTCCGAAGCTGTGCAATTTATGCCCACGAGCTAATTGTGACGCTAACTTTCCCATACATCTCCCGCACGCGACGCTCGACAATCCAGATTTCGAACGAATATGCTCGACCTCACTCGCACAAACAAAGGCACTTGATGAATAATGATAATGAATTGTCGCCGAGCGACGTTACTGCGGGCGCGACGACAAAAACCCAACGCGCCGTGTCGAAACTCTTGTCGTAAAGCACACTTTTGGCGCCGAATAACTCATCGCTTCTGGACCGTCGCGGCCACACTCTGGTTCGTGCAGCACGTGTAGCTTCACCGAATAACAAGCAAAACGTAAATTTTCCCATCCCCTTTTAGATCCGATGCCGCGCGACTCACGTGACGCCTCAACTTTTATTTCCTTTGTTTGCGAATTTTCGTAATCTCGGGATCGTGTGTGTATGGTTTTTACATCCGAGCCGATGAGCGTTTCAAATCGAAATATATTGCTGAATCAGAGGAACTTGCAATGTTGTTGGTACCGATCGCTAAATCGTTTCTTCACTTACCTTACAGTACTGCACGATTTTAGCTAACCGGAGCTAGAAACTTTAGTCGATTCAGTTTTATCTGCGTGGCCGGGGAAAGTAAAATTTCGTTTTAGTTTTGAAAAGTTGCCTGTTGATAAATCAGGCCCGTTTGAGGCACGCGTTAATCACGCAAACGTGTTCGAGGGTGAGCCATCGATTTTTGCTTCGCACCAAAGTTGCGTTGTTCTACCGATCAATTGTAAGATTTCTAGTGCTTTCGCGATTGTTTGGAAAGGTTGCCGTGAAAGTTTCAAGTTGACTTCACAGAAACATTACCAGACTCCGTTTGTCAAATATTACTTTGAAATTTAAACCGCATTAAAAGGTAAGTTCTCGCTACTCCCGCGACATTCCTTACGGCACCGAATGTTTTGTCTCGGAAGCGGAATACAAAAGTCATCCCAGACAGCCAAACTTTGCGGTGAATTTCATTTCGTTTCTTAATCGAGTAATCCGATGGTAAATGCTGGGTGTAGAGAAAATACAATCAGGGCGAGGAGCGATTTGTAAAATTTAGCCGGAGATTTAACTTTGTTCCACGACAACCGGAGAAACTCTTACGGTTTTTTTTTTTTTTGTTTTTTTTGTTTTCAAGCTGCAAGACTTTTCCATCGTCAGCTCTTTGTACTTTGCAAAAACTTTCATCCCGAGTGCGCGAACGACTTTTTAAAAGCGACTCAAACTTTTTTCATCCCGCTCGCGCTACGCGTTTTTTACTTCCCAATGATCGATCCAAAATCACTTTTCCGTGATATGCTTGAGTGGATGGTACTTTGCTTGAATCCAAAATCGGGAAGCTGCGATTCCCGATGGATAAATGTGATTGGGACGATCGCGAAGCTGTTGGTCAAAATTGTTTGACGCTCCCCAGGTGCTCGAGCTGCCGGAGCCAATAGGCACCCCATCACGGAGAAGGAAGAGCAGGAGATGATGGGAAATTGCAGTTCTCGATGAGGCCTTGATTGGAGCGTCGCGCTCCAATGTGCACGCGACAAATGACCGAGGAAAAAGTGTTATCGAAGGAAAAACAAAAGGGAGCATGGGCTTGGAGTTGCATCAAGGAGACCATTATCATGCGGTCAATGACGACCCTCGCGTTATTGCGTGCCATAGTGTATAAGGTATCAAGCTGTTAATTATTTTCTCCGTGTTAATGGTCGGGTACTTACATTGACTAGTATTTGCAAGGCCTCGACGTAGGAACGTTCGGTGTCGTATAGCTCGACGACAACGTGCGTGCGCGTGTCCTGTAAACAAAAACAACGCTTGCGTTAATTGCGCGATGGTGTGATCGATGAACGTGCGGGATGAGCAAACATTTTGCTTGGTAAACAAAAACGTGCAATCATGATGTTTTTGGAATTACTTTGTGATGAGAAATTTATCAAAAATCAATGTGAAAAAATCCAAGTGGGTTAAAATAACGACCCGATAAATAAATAAACACCAAAATCTACTCGTTATCGGCTATTTCACCAGTTCAACTGTACTCAACAATTTCTTTCTAAAACAATGAGGACACAGAAAGGTTATGGAGTGGAAAACGTTTCTGTGACAGATTCAACGCTCTTGCGTAATGTGGGTTACGTCCTGTAGCCTTTTTGATGTATGTAAAGGAATGTGAACAACACACTTGGATCCATAGTGGTATACTAAAAAGTACATACATTGTAAAATATACATTTATTTAATCTATAAGAGTCAAGGGGAGTTGTCGATTAAAAATCATTTTATGCAATCTACGCTTATAATATTCTAACGAAAATCCAAAACAAAGAAACAGTTGACCATCAAAAGCTTTGCACAACCAACCGTTTATTATATACATATACTGTATGCTCACAAGTTACAAGTTTAATTTAACGCGGTGAAGATACATTCACGTGCAATACTGTTATGCATGTTTATTCACCAGAGGGTGAGTCTTACGCAAACAAGCACACGTGCCGACTTTGACAGACAACGACTGAATGATACGTACATTATGTCATAAGACAGAGACAAAATGGAAAAAAAAAACACGCCAACGAAAAAAAAGGGGTTGATACGCAAAAAAGAGATTCAACGGTAATGAAAAAAAAATCAGCACCCCTGTTGAGCTGGAAAGTAGCGGGTATTACGATTAGCGAAAGTTTTCCCTGGGGTTTGTAAGCACTTTTTCTTCCCGGCTCGGAAAGAAGCCCCAGCCAAACGTTTGGGCACGTGGATCCGGCCAGTGTACGTAACAGAGCGCGCAATCAAGAGGGTACAGGAGACGGGGCGCACATGTCAGGGGACACGCGTGCAGCGATGCGGGTAATGCGAGGGTTTCACGTGCGTTCGCGTGATGAAGATTGAGCGGATGTTTTTTCACCTCGCATGGAGTGCTCTCGTTGGGCATTTGAGCTCCATGTGGTCCAGATACCGATGGGATTTTCGTATCAACAGTTTGTGAAATGTACTTGCGTCATGATGATTTTAGGAGTCCTCAAATATTTGTGCAAGTTTTTATGTTTTAACGCACCTTTGGTGCAAAGGTTCTTGCCTTTTACGGGAGGATGTTTCTTTAAATTATATTCGTTTATGTAAGTGGCCGTTCATTGAAAACTCTATGGTTTTACTTTGCGGTGAAAATTACGTTTATTAACAAAATCAGTCGATTCTTTAATGCTTCGGTTGATGAGGGTAGATTAAATCGTATAAATGATTTTTTTTTTTTTTTTTTTTCACTTAAGTTGAAAAAAGAACCTTTGAAAAAAGAAAAACAGCGTCTACTAATTATTTAAGCCAAACTGAAAAGATGACATTTATTACGTGGGTAGGTACATAGCCTCATGAGAAGTAACAGCCGTATCTGTAGATGTCATGTTATGACCGTACACAAAAATTTGTCAAAAAGATTATATTACATTTTTTTAACATGCTCGTAAAAGCACTTATATCAAGTTATAATAAATAATAACAAATACAAAACTCCTTACAATGATAAATGCCAAATTGTGGCGTTATTATAAATAAACTCAAGTCACTCATAATTTAACAATAAAAAAGTGATAAAAATAAATAAAAAACAGAGAAAAAGGTACTTGCTCACGAAAAATTGTGAAAAACAACGATACCCACCGAGTCCTTCGACGATTGTCTGCCGTCTTCGCTGTCGACTGACAGCTGGCTAAAGAATCTCTGTTCAACGCTCATCATTTTTTCCCTAATTCGTGTCTATTTTTACTCGCACAGCACTCACTTACAGTTTCATTTTTTTCTTTATTTTATTTTTTTTTATTTTTTATTTTTCGTTCAACAGCGAAAAATTAAAATAAACCAAGCTCTACCTCCTCGAAACTGTCTCCCGATAGGATAATTTTTCGACTCCACAGAGTCCCTTGCACCACACCAAAACTTTTTTTTGTCTTCCAGCACAGCTTGGGCACACACCAGTTATTCAACGTGTCCCCCTGCAAAGCAATTTTCATTAATTCCCATCGATTCGCGTGCCTTTCGGCCACCACAGATCCGACACCACCCCATATTTCATCTCTCCCACGCCTCGAAGCACCGACACTTAACACACGAAAACATCGGCCTGGCACGCGGAAACACATGCACTGCTGAGTTTTCCTTCCTTCCCACCCTCAAGAAGTTTGACTCAAGGACAAGAGCCGGAAGAAAGTAATCTGGTCTCCTTTTGGTACCACCCTCGCTTCCCCGTGGGCGGAGGAGTCGAAGGGAGAAAGGTCCGTCGAAGACATTTACAGATTACGGAGCTCTGGCGAAAAATTATCGTCAGTCGGGGGTTTTCCCGCGTGTCCATTAACATTAATCCACCGCCATCGCCGGAAACAACGAATGTTTGCTCCACGAATGGGAAGCCGTTTACTTTATTCAGGGCACCCTCTCGGTAATTACACTTGCACTGATGTGGCAACACGTTTGTGTGCCACAACCCTCACCCACGTGATAAAAACAAAACAAAAAAAGGGAGCACTTGCACGCGATCGAACGCCGCACGAGGTTGTGTAAGGGGAGAAAAAACCACAGCTAACTTTTCGGCCAACATCACCTACGCGCTCCCAGTGGCCGAGTAGTCGCGAAGCGCGTTTTAAATTTAGCCGCGTGACTAAGCCCCTCTCTTTTCTCGACACTTTGGAGCTTTTCCTCGGCCCACTGGACATCTCCGTCGGGGGAAAGAAACGGACTCTGGCCGATGATCCGAGAGAGTCGTCGCAACTGGATGTATTTTCGTTGCTCTGGACGGACCAGCGCGTTTGACGACTTTTCGGGGTTGTTGTGTTTTTTTTTTTTTTAGGGGGGGGGCGTGTTTTGTCTAGTCCCCGTGTTACTTTTTTCTGTGCTTCGAGCCGGTGGACATGGCTTTTGTCGGCGATATTGACAATGTTGGGTGAAATTTCGACGGCTGTATACCGTAAATTCGACTAGCTTTGAAACCAAATGGTTTAATTTTTTTTTCTAGATTCTAACATTGCGGTATCACAGGGTTGAAAACACTTACGTTTACCGTATACCTACGAAGGGAAACAGCTCAAATGCAATATCCAATTTTAAGTAAAGATCATATAAGTGTGTCAATTAAATTTTTCAGATGAAAAAAAAAAACAACTTATTTGTTTCTCAATTGCACGAGCGAAAAAACAATTATCCAACTTTTTGTTCTCTGCTGGGAGGTAGTTTTTAATGGAAAAAAGTTTCGATTGTTCAACTTTCATTTTTATTGGCTCGTAGTAAACTCAATGGAAAAAAATTTCTTGGAATCAAAAAAAGTAAGATAGTTCCAAATAAATAATCTCATGTTTTCTGATGTAAAAAAAAATATTAATTTCAAAGAAGAAGAAATGCTTAATGCAAAAAACATTATCTCAAGTCAAGAAAATATTTAGTTTTTACTGTTGGGATAAATGTTTTTTTCCAAATGCTATCGCAGTTAAAAGCATTCACTTTTTTGAGCGTATCTTTGATACAAATAATGACTTTACATTGAGAAACAATTTACGACATTGATATTTTTCATCTTCAATATTTACAATGGAAACAATCCGGATTCTCATTATTGGAATTCACGAGCAAACGCACCCACAATCCACAATTGATACCAGTGTTTCCCACAAGAAAAAAAAAATACAATTAGATTGATGGGGTCACAGATCGCACCAATGATCGGCAAATAATTTCCCAAGAGCTTTCACGAAGTAAACACTGGATCCCCTCGTTTCGATGCAAATGAACTCTCATCCAAATAAGGTATACACTTGGCTAGTAGCGATCAACAAGTAATCGCGAAAATACGCGAGAATAGGGGGGTGGGACGTAATATTCGGGCTACCCGTGAAGAAAATTCACTTAACGCGCGAGTGACAACAACGACGACGAACGAAAAGTAAAAAACGAGAGCTTCGACCTCGAACCCACGGTGGTGGCGAAGACGCACGTGCGCGCGTGCGCTTGTACTTCACTCCCTCCTCAACCCCCGACCCTTTTTTTTTCCTCCCTCCGCTCCAAGGAAAATCAAGGGGACGACCTTGGAGCTGGTTCAGGGGGTGTAAACCGGCTTTCCTCCCTTCCGGCTTTTCTCCCTGGCTTTTTTAACGTCTGCTTGCTTTCTGTTGTTACTGGGAGATGAGAGAGTGGATCGAGTAGGGTGGCCGTCGGACACTATTGCGCGTATGGCACGGCTGAATGGATCCATTAATAAATTTATGACTTTGGAATTTCCTTCCTGTCTGATGCCTGCCTGCTCTACGCTTTTTTCATGTTGTTTACGTTGTTTTTTTTTTTTTTTTTCCCTTTGCAGAGAATAATTTAATCGGTGTTCATCACGTGTGCACACGATGATCAGAGATCGCGAGCTAAAGAGGTTTTTGTTCTGTAAACAAAATTACGCTGGTGATTTGGAACCTTTTTTTTCTCGTCACGATGAATAACACTTTCTTTCTTCTCATGTAGTGTGCAATGAAATACTTAAAAACTAAATACCTGTGAAAATATATAAATAGCCTTGGAAAATCGATTTTATAAGAGTAAAGCGGTAACGTGTTTGAAAGTGCAGGTATGCATTCTTTAACTTGAAAATATTTTTTCTATATTAAATCAGCAATTAAACAAGCAACGACACACCACGATAAGAAAAATCACATGACCGTAAAACATTTATGTTCATATGATTTGTACATTAAAAATAAAAGTTAAAAAAAGTTATAGGAGTAATTGAAAAAATTTTCCAAACTAATGCTACGGTTATTAATTATGTTTTGCA